GCGGCCACTGCACTCCAGCCTGGGCGACAGAGTGAGACTCCAACTCAAAAAAAAAAAGTAGACCAATACATGCATTGTAAGAATCCCAGATAGAGAAGGGGGAGAAGGAGAGAAAGAAGGAGGAAGAGAGATTCTTTCAAAAAACCATGGCTGAAAACAAACTTGATGAAAGAGATGACTATAAACATCCAAAAAGCTCAACAGACTTCAAGTAGAATGACCTACACAAGACACACTGAGACACATTACTATCAAACTGATGAAAGAGAAAGTCTTAAAAAAAATGTGGAAAGCAGCAAGATAGAAGCAACTTACCACATAAAAGGATACTTAATAATATTGTCAGCAGATTTCTTTTCAGAAACTTTGGATATTAGAAGACAGTGAACTAACGTATTCAAAGTGCTAAAATAAAAATCAACAACAAAACTGTAAATCAAGAATCCTATAACCCGCAAACCTGACCTTCAAAAGTGAAGGAGAATTCAAGACATGACCAGATAAACAAAAGTTGAGGCAGTTTGTTGCCAAAGAATAGTCGTGCAAGACATGCTAAAGGGAACACAGCAGGTTGCAATGAAAGGATACAAGGACAGTAACTTGAAGTCATATGAAGCAATAAAGATCTCAGTAAAGGAAAATATATTAGCAATTATGAAAGTTAGTATTATTGTAACAACAATTGGCAATTCCACTTTTAGTTTTCTTTTTCTTTCTTTTTTTTTTTTGAGTTGGAGTCTCACTCAGTCACCCAAACTGGAGTGCAGTGGCTGTTCCCAACTGGAGTGCGGAGGCCGCTCCCGGCCACCGCAGCCTCCACCTGCTGGGCTCTGGCGATCCTTCCGCCTCAGCTTTCCAAGTGGCTGGAACTACAGGTGCACGCTACCACACCCAGCTAATTTTTGACTTATTGTAGAGATGAGGTCTCGCCAAGCTGCCCAGGCAGGTCTCGAACCCGCGGGCTCAGGCAATCCACTCACCTCGGCCTCCCAAAGTGCAGGATTACAGGCTGAGGCACTGAGCCTGGCTAGGAAAATGATTCTTTATTGGCAGCATATAAATTCAGAGTCAGAAATGATGGTTATGCTAAACAACCACAGGTTGTCCATATGGGTGACTGAAATAGTTATACCATGGCTTTCTGATAGTTCAATGAATACAAATCTTGTTTCATTCATAAAATTGTTCAAAATATTGCATAAAATTACCTTCAGGCTATATATAAGATCCATATGAAATATAAATAAATTTTGTGTTTAGACTTGGGTTCTACCTCCAAGATATCTCATTATGCTTATGAAAATATTGTAATATCAAAAAAAAAAAAAATCCAGAACACTTCCAGTTCCAAGCACA